TAACACAACAAACCAAAATAATACAAAAACAATACTACAAAAGCAAAACAAAGAATGCTGCCATGCAAGGCGAGGGCAAAGTGAAGCAGAGAAGAAGATGCAAGCGGAGCAAAGCAGCAGAGCGACACCACCCAGAGCAAGCCGCAGAGAGACGGCGAGGCTAACGGCGATGCTAACCGCGGCAAAGCGGCGGAGCGCCGCTAACCCGGCAAAGCAGCAGCGGTCCCAATATTCAGCCACAGCCTCTGTTCAATAAGTCTAGGTTAAATACAAACCAACAGATAGATACAACTAAGTAACAGACTGTAGACCTACCGTTCAGCTGTGTTCAGTGAGCACCTGAAGGAGAGGGACACACTCTTATGTAGCGGCAACAGCAGAAGACACCCCAGAAGACATCCCCAAAGGCGCAGCAGAAGACACCCCAATTGCACTGGCCGAACAGGCAGCCGCGAGCCAAACGTGCCGGCACGGGGTCCGTGACACATGTGGCTACAATAAAAGAACACCAATTACCATAGAGCATGTAAGTGAGGCAAGATGCTGGCGAAGCAGTCACTGCTACGTTACCTGCGTGAAGTGCCGCTGGTACCTGACAGGCAAGAGCAAGGCGACCCGGACGGGCCGGAGTGGGCGGTCTCAGAGCCAAGCGCGAGAGACACCAAGATGGGCACCGTACCCTTATAAGGAGTGCCCTCAAGCGGTGATAGGCTGAATAGCATTCTCACATTAGGTGCAGAAATTAGGCTTCATCCTGCCACATAAGTGCACGGCTTCTAGTTCGGGTGCGTAGTTTTACAGGGTGATTTCACTCAAAATATACTTCCAATTTAAAAAAAATATTTAAGAAGAGTGTTTTTAAAACCCCTTATCGCTCCCACGTCCCGCCGGCGGGACCACTTTCCGAACACATTACAGCCAGATGTGCGCATGCTCCACAATCACGTTTCCCGACAACATACACATCAAATGAAAGCCCACAGTCTCCTTTTTCCGATGATATAAACTTTTTTGACCTGCGGCAACCACAGCGTTGACACAAAGAGCTTTTTATACAGAAAAGCAGCATGTAAAAATCCGAGTTTTCTTACTTTTGAAGGCTCTCTGCAGCTCAAACATCGCTCATTCCTCACCAGCTTGGTCTCATTCTGTCCGGACAGAACCAGTGAACACAATCCCGTAAAATAATTCGGTCCGTAAAACGTATTAGATCCCCAAAGGCACAAACGCTGCAGTAATGTCTTCCCAGCTTGAGATCAGCTCCGGCTGTTTTATTCATTTCTTCTGGCAAAATCAGCCTGAATCTAGTTCAGATCGCGCTGAAAGCGCTGCAGTCAGCTAGACGGACGTCTCAGCTTTTGATTGACACCTAGTTTGGCCAATAGGAGGGCTTTGGGGGTGAGTGACAGCCTGAAGGGCCAATGGAGTGTCTCAGACAGTCAACCCGGTCCGCACAAGTCCCACCCTTGTAGATTCGACCAGTCAAGTTGCAGACACTCTCTGAAGCTGTAAAAGTGTAGCCAATGAGCAGACGAACACGTGGGTGTGTCGGAAGGCAGGATTGTGTGTGTGTCGTGGTATCGGATCGGCCAGTTACCACTGTGAAGTAAATCATCCGATACCGTCATTTCGTCCAGTATCGGCCCGATACCGATACTCAGTATCGGATCGGCGCATCTCTAGTTAAAATGCAGTGCAAATGACTGCATCTATGTTTAGGTGCACTATTCAATGATATTCACATAAAGTGTAATTAAAAATTGCATATAGTTTTTTTTTCATTTATTATTTCCCCTACCGTAATTATGGTGTGTGTAACAGGTTTTTTCCTTACCCATAGGTGGATTACATGGAACCCATAGTGGAGAAGATAACCTTGGTGGAAGATGCCAGGTTTGACTCTCCAAAGTCCATGTTCATGGGCAGAGTGATGGGTAAAAATCTTATTTTACTGCTTGCATGCAAAGTCTTCATTTGTGCCAGAATTATTTATGAATACTTTATTTAAAGTAAGATGCTTGCATGATGTTTTAATTGCTTGTGTCTCTTCCTTCAGAGGTTGGTGACATCGACTATGAGATTCAGCGACACAATGCTCCAGGCTTCATTGGCTGCATATCTGGGGTGAGATACAATGTCTACGCCCCTCTGAAGGCCCTCTTCCGTCCGAATGAAACAGATCCTCCAGTCACGACACAAGGTTATGTCTCTGAGTCCAACTGTGGTGCCTTCCCTCCTGTCCTGGGTTATGTACCGTGGGAGGTAGACCCCTGGTTCACTACCATAGGTGAGTTTGCATGGATTTTCTGTAACATGTCATTGTTTTCTGTTCAGAATCAGGAATACTCTATTGATCCCCGAGGTGAAATTACTTACATTACAGTTGGTCCCATTCATAGTCTTGGAAATATAAACATTAGAAAATATTTAGATAAGCATAAATAGAAAAATATGTCAGAAAATGTGAACATAAGTAGAAAGAGTGTATGTAAAATGTGCTTTTCCTAAGAAAATGAAGTGTACATATACAGTGTAATAACTAGTGTGTTATTTTACACTTCATCCACTGTACTGTATATGTGTCTCTTACAGAGTATTTTTACATCCACGATGACCTCGGTCTGTTTTGGATAACAGGTGAGCTTGATTTTTTCTTGTTTTGTCTGACTCTTTGATCACACACATTGTGACATTTTACAAGCTCATTTGGTTTATTTTGACAGACGGCTCCTCTCCCTCATTTCTGTTTTACTGTTTCCCTCCTGTCCCAGATGACACAAATCAACCGTTTGAAATTCTCTTTCCCTTTTTCCTAAAATCCTCTAATCCTAAATTAGAGCAGGGTTGTCAGATTCCAACGCTGGCTTTTGAGTGTTTATTCAAGCTTCTGACTGCAGGCTCAGTTTTATTACATGTGGGACAAAACAGAAGAACATAAGCACAGCTAAATAAACAGCCAGACATTGTAAATGAATTGCATTTATTTTACCAAATATAATATTTGGTTCTATTCAAGCGCAATCCGATTATCTTTTTAATTTAGCTGAGTATATCAGTACAATGAACATCAAGAAATGACGTTTTTGTATTTGCAAGAAATGCTGAATACAAGAATGAGTTATACAGATTTAAATAGATGGAATTGAATCATCCATATAACGCACAGTACTATTATATAGTTTTGATGCATCAAATTAAGGATGGGTTCATATGTTTCTTTCCTACGTATTATCATAGGTATTATGTTAATTCAAACAGATGTCATTGACTACTCTGATATATACAAGTGACTCATGGCTGAATAAAAAGTCGTAGTTATACCTGCCCACATAGATGTCAGTACCTTAAAGGGAAACAAGGAAGAAACTGAATCCAAACTATGACAAATGTCCTCCTTTCATCATGGATTTCTGCCAAAAATTAATATTTAACATGTTTCTGAACCTGTGTCCACTGGTAACTCTGCACCTTATCTCAAGAGGACGTCTTGAGTGCTGAGAACAGATGACCAGTCTGCAGCACAGCATTACAGATGATGGGGGGGAAAAAAAGTAGAGCAGGTCCCCCTGATGAGCAGGAAAGGCTGGAGTCTCAGGATTAAACTGCAGCACAGAGACTCCCTGCTCCATCCCTGTCTGAGACCTTTACTGGATCAGCTATATTTAGTCTGGACGGGCCCAGCTTACTGTTCATCATTGATAGATGCTCCAGCTTAATAGACCATTTAGCTTCAGAGATATTATGCTAATGCAGGGCATCAGCATGTCATTAAAGATTAGTGCACCACTCCGGCATCCCAACAATGGTCCCCCTCCCTAGATGTCAGACATGTCTGATACACTGCTAAGGATGGGTGTGACTGAGAAATTACACCTCTGACAAAATATGTTGCTGATAAAATAAAATGCTTTGGTGTACTGGGATATAAATTTGTTTACCAGGATATTGAAAACATATGTTTTTCCTTGATTTATCCTGCGATCTATATTTTGCAGATGCTTTGCTGCTCTAAAGGCTGTGTTAAGTGCATTATACCACTCCCAGAGAAAAAGACAAACTGCAGAACACCACATGTTATGCTTTTAGCAGTATCAGCATCGATCTCTGCATTTACTGAGTATATGAACCCAAGACGCCTTTCCCGGCATGCCCTGGCAGAAAGGCCAGTAAACACTGTGGATATTTCGCTGTTTCATTACACAGAGAACAACATGACTGACAAACAAACACACACCTACAGGCAGTTTCATGTCTCCATTTCACCTGACCTGCATGCCTCTGAGCTGTGGCAGGGAAGGCAAAGCAAATACAGAGGGAACATTTAAACAACACCCTGAAAGAACCAGCGTCGAGGTCTGAACCTTCAGCTGTAAGGTGCCTGCTTGAGCTACTGAACAATTTGTTTGCATTGTACAGTCAGGATGCACAACCACATTACAAATCTAGTCTGGATGTGAGTTCTGTCTGATAAGACTCTGTCACAGCTGGTTTACTGCAAGTCCATCTTTACAGAAGTGCTGGAACCACTCACGTGTTGTAACTAATTCAAAATGCAGCAGCCGGGAGACTGAACAGAACACCAGGAACTGAGCTCATCCCTCTTGTCTTCAAAAATGATCTCTGCTGGCTGTCCAGGATGCCCATTCAGGGGTGTAAGACCAGGCTCCACTGCAAAAATTGGATCAGTTACTCAATTTGCAAACTGAACAGACCTCTCAGGCCACAAGATAACAATCTCCTTTGTGTCTGCAAAGCCTTGATCGGATTAAATTTCTTTCAATATTTGTGAACGAAAAAGATGGACAAACTTATTTTCTTTTCTGAAATTTTCACTTGACGTTACATCAACTTATGGACATTTTTGTTTGTTTTTATTTATTTGAGCATTCTTAGATAATAATTTACAATATTTGTATCATCACGATAATGTTGTATATTTTTTCTCTTTGTCTCCCCTCTGCTGTGTTAACATCATTCACACAACCGCTCCTCATCAGTATTTGGAGGAGCACCTTGTTCCTCGCTGCCTCGCAGATTAACTCTGACTGTGCTATTTTTATCCCACAGTTATTGTCATCCTGGCGCTGCTGCTGCTCTTTGGAGGCCTGTACAGCATCTACGTCTACGCTTACCAGCAGAAGGGCAGTTACCACACCAATGAACCCAAAAACCTGGAGTCTCCCAGCAGCTCCAGGCCACTGACTGAGACCCTGAGGAGAGAAAAAAAGAACCTCCCAGAAATTGAAGAGGAGTTCAGGAGCGACTAGCATCACGGGACCTCTGGGGCAAAGGGTGGGGTTTGACAGGGGTGGGGTTGGAGCGAGGGAAATAGCACTTACAAAAACCACAGATACCTGTATTAAGTTTTCTAATTCTTTACTTTTCTTTCTTTCTTTTTTTTTTTTACATTTTGGTTTATTTTTTTTTCCCCGGTCGAGTGGGATATGACGCCTGGTGCTCTACATAGTATGTATTTTGGTAAGTTCTAGTTTTGCTGAGTTCAAAGTTCAAATCAAGCCCCAAGTTGCATGAGTAGCCAACAAGTCTCACACTGTATTGCAGGGTGAAATACTGAAGTGCCTCATCTGAGCAAGCTTGATCTGAAGTAACCATAATAGCTTATTCAGATAGGGTTTAGATTAGACACTGTGGGGGGGAAAAAAGAATTTCAAGGGATTTTTAATTGGAACATCAACTTTAAGTATTTAGGATTTTATTAATTGATTTCTTTTCTGAGCCATTTTTCAAGACCGACGAAAGCTATCGAAAGCTGACTGTATACATCTAAACTGTACCTTTTGATGACAATCTCTCATGGAGCTATTTTTTTGACACCATAGCTCATAATCTGTCTTGGGTTTGTGTAGTGAGCACATCTAAGAGCTGGTGAACGAAACCAGCGTGACAAAAGTACAAATCAAACCTGGTGTTCACGTGTAAAAACAACCAACCCGAAGAGAGAACTTACAGACGAGCATGGAGCTTTGAAACATTAAGCTTTGAGATGACACATTTAAAGATTGTAAAAGGTATCTACGCTTCTATTTGTTGTATTGCAGCCTATAACAGTGCATTACTTATACAGAATGGCTCGTGTAAGTGGTTCAGAATTGCCATAGTGTCAGTAGATAGCAGCTTTGCCGACTACAGTATGCTCAGATTCATGACACATTCTCGACCATGGAGGCTTTGGTAATGAGAGTGTGATAGTTTGAAGATACCTCTGGGTGTGAAAGCTAGCAGACTGTTGGTGTACTGCAGAATCAAAGCAAAAGTCAAGGTGATGACGCCTGCCAGGGACAGAAATATCACAAAGAGTTCTCATTCCTTCTGTCTTGCTGCTGGTTTCCTATATTACGGTCAAGCTGCCAATAGCTTGGTGCTAACAGAGTGTTCGACTCAACAGACATTTCTGATGACAGAATTACTAGAAAAGAATCAGTCCTTTCACAATACTTCCATCTTCAATAATAACATTCAGGGAACAGCTGCTCCCTTTGTGACCATGTGGAGAAGCATACACATAAACACATGCACACACACAGTAACATATGTACAGAGGACCACAAGAGTGTAAATGCTAATCTTTTACTTCACACTGCTCGAATATTTTTGCTGTAGAACAGTAGCTGACAGTAATGTCATCGCTGCTGCTGCTTGTTTAGCTGCTCTCGGTGAAAAGTAAAAAAAAAAAAAAAAAAAGATATCCTACCTATAGTCAAATGAAACTTCCTTTTCTGGCAAGAAGAAATTTTATTTGATGTTTTGTGCAACCAAAGCTTAGGGCTATCATCACTCACTTTGGCTCTCCTTGACACTAAAGCACTGTTGTGTATGTGGAAAAAAAAACAAAACAAGTGTTACATTTGCACCATATCAGCTATGCATACGTAGAGCATGAGCGCACTTTGCAGTAACATGCAATAATATGAGCTTCTTCCAGCCGCCAATGATGTTAATTTGCAAATGCACACTAGCAACTAGGATGTAATGAGTGTATACGTGAATATATGAATAATGTGTTAGGCGACTTTTTTTTTTTATTCCTATAGTTTATAAAAAACGAGGAAAAGCAGTTAATTGGAGTGCTTTGAATGTAAATCCTTTGACTCTGTCTGTATGAGCAGACAGCGAAGACCTGCTCTGATGTTTTTTTGATTGCTTAAGCACTGAAAGTAAAATTACTCATGGTAGCTTTCGTGAATGCTCAGGATAAAGAAAGTACAGTTCTCGCTCGCTGTAGCACTGATACACCTCCGAAACTCAACACTGTTGGTTCTCTTCCGTTGCAGATGGGCAGAACTGTGCAAAACTGTACAGTCAGGATGTACAGTAAATGTAAAAAAAAAGAAACTGCAATTACTGTAAAGGCACGACTTGCTAATAATGTATGAAAATGTACAGATTTGGCCGAAACGGGCATTTACAGGCTATATTTTTGTGCTGTAACAAGAGGAATGAAAGCGAAAAGTGAGCAAACGGAGTGAAACTGATGGCTCGATACAAAGAATGATTTGTGTTTTTGTTATATGGACAATCACCACACAACTTCATATTAGGCACAACATACTGGGGTCAAATATGCTTTGTTGCCTATTAGGAAAGAGTCGACTTATGTATTATATAAATGTATACACCTTACTTACTGTATTCATTGGTAAACGGACTATAAACATTCAGCCTAGCAGTGTCACATTATTGCATCTCACTATTCATGTGTGGTCCCTGGAGCGTGTGTTTGTGTGACTGACTGGATGTTTTAGTGTTTGTGTATTCATAGTTTGCCCACCAAGATACAACCGAATGACGTTAAACAAATGTGCACTGATGCCAACTATCCAACTCACTTAGCGTAGTGCGCCAACAGTAGAACAGCGAGACAGAAACAAGACGTGGTGGTACTCAGCTGTGGCTTCTTCTTATACAGGCATCAGGTATTTGTGAGATTACAAGCACATTGTGTGGAGTCACCATCCAGCATCCGAATGATGGAGGAAAGGATTTGGGTAAACCGGACTGAAATAAAACGGCCAGTAGAGGGAGTCAGCCAGCAGGGTGTTTTTTTTAAATAGCTCGGACAGGGTATCTGCCGATTCCTTAAAATACGAGACTTACAGAGCTCTGTTTATTGCTTCCTGTAGTTACACCTAAGATTAATGGCAAAATAGAAAAGCATATTTAAAGGAGCATAATAAATTTAGCTAAAAGAATCACGATTTGCATGTAATTCTGCTCTGTTCGGCAGACACATGAAGAGATTTCAGTACCTACAAAAGCCTTAATAAATCTGCAGACACCCTGTCGACGGTGGTATCACGTGTGACATCAGATGATAAAGCACCAGAGTGAGGAGGAGGAGGAGGAGGAGGCAGGTTAGACCAGGTTAGAACTCTGCACCATCAAACTAAATCCTCCTGGAACAAGAACTAGATATAACAATTGTGTTTTTGATCACACTGGAATTTAGGATATATTTTTTCTGTTCTTCTGTATGCTCGAGTTTGTTTTGTAATAATTTCACTGTAAATGACCATTACTGTGTAAATCAAGGCAAAGCCAAACTGTCATCTCAATAAAAGAAGCTTGAAGGAAATTGTTAATGTGTTATTTCGGCTGACGTGATTTTAGTGTAGCGATCGTTCACTCAGAAAAGGACGAAGACAGCGTTTTTTTTTTTTAATGTATAAAGTTAAAGTTTTATTTTTATAGGCATACACTGTACATAGCATTAAACTCCATTTTGTTCATCTCTACTGAGAAAGATCTCATTTCATAGTGGGCTTTTTTGATGTTTTATAAATGAAAAACAGAGCAAATGACAAACCTGGACGTAAAAAAATAAAGAAAACATGATAAATGATATTTTACATTCACATGAGGGGGACTTCAATATTTGGTCAAACACTGACAATTTTGCTTTTTGCCATAGTTGTATCCTTGTAAAGCTTACCTTTAACAGAGCTCTGTGTGTATGTAATTATGCAACACGTCCATATTGTCGCAGCACTTTTCTGTGCAGAATCATTTGGCACTTTTCGATTTTCAAAGGAAGACATTTACTCTGTGACTGGTTTATTATTTAAGTGTGAAGGTTTCAAGATCATGTAAACGTGAGAATAAACTGTTGATGTATATACGTTGCTCTGAGTACCAATAATGGAATAATGTGTGAAATGAAAAGAGGGATGAGATCTCTTCACCATCATCTACTGGTTACATTCAGTCAGTCGGTTTCTCGTCTGGTTGCCTATTTTTGCAGAACAATGATATAAATGCACAATAACTTATTTTACCATAAAGACGTGGTGGTGATGCTAGCCGCTGGGAAGGTTCACAGGGGAACATATCAAGCTGCCAAGCTTGATCAAGTTTCCCTGTGGAGCAGTCAGAGGGTAACATCATACTACAATACTGAGTGACTGCACAGGGACAGCATCTGACTGAAGCTAATGCTGTGGCTAACATGTTTAATGGATGGTTTGTCAAAAGACAGCACATGCATTTCACTGATTTACGTCGTAAAAGCTTGCGTTACGTATTGAAATGTCAAACAAAAGCCAGTCTATAAGTACAGTAACAAAACTGCGGAGGGTAACACACTGAGTCATGGGTGATTGCAGCCTCTTTGCTTTGACAAGATGGAATTAAAAAGAAAAACAATGTGTGATCCTCTTGGTGCAGTAAGCGATACCGATTAATAGTATTTTCACTTTAAATAGTTTAGTTTAATAAGCTTGGCGTATACAGTCTTACAGGTAGGTGGGTGGGTCTGGGCAGATGTGGAGGGAGAGCTGTCGCTGAATGAGATGGTGCGCTGTTTGCAAAGCAGGAGCACCTGCAAACCGCAGGGAGGGACTTTCTATTTTTGGAAGTGCAGCAGAGAGGGCAGAGACAGTGACTGTCAATAGAGACTTGTCGGCTAGATGTGATGCTGCAGAGAGGGACAGAAGCATTAGTGGGTAGCGGCGGAGTTAAGGAGAGGTTATGGAGGTAGGCAGCTGATGAAGTTAAGCCATGTCTACCTCCCTCTCTATTCCCACATATTTGAGGGCATCGGCTTGGCTGTATCTGTGAGAAGAAACATGAAGTAAAGAGCATGAGTTAGTATACAGTAAATCTAGAAGGCAGTTATTCAGTCACAGTGAAAAGCGACTTTTTCTTTCTTTCTGTCTTTCTTTCTTTCTTTTTTTTATTTTACTTTGAAGCTGATGGAGAGTCACAAAAAGGCCTGTGACTCTACCTGTAGTCAAAGAAGAGCTCCTCTCCTTGCAGGATAGCTCGTTTGGCAAAGATTCCAATGCGGTGGTCTCCGTTCACCATCACCACTGCAATGGCAGCAAACACAGTGTCAGCCAACAGAACTCTTCTGAATCTTCACACAGTGGACTCACTCTCACCTTTAGCGTAGCAGTTGGGGTTAACTGAATGATTTGCAAAGCGGATTTTGTTCCCCTTTCGCGTGGCATCCACAACAAAGTCTACTGAGAGACACACAGTACATGAAGAATTTCTTAACGTAGGGGTATGTCTGGCTTAGAACAGCAAAGCAGGAGTGGGGAATACTTGCCATTGTTCAAGTTGAAAAGGAAACTCGACATGTACTTGTCATAGATCCTTCCACGTCGGTCTGCCTCATCCTGGGAGATCAGCTGCTCACGCAAATACACAGGAAAAATAACACTGTGAGTACAACACTTCAATCATGCTGACAGCTCATGAATAATACATTTGAAAATAAAAACTGACTAAAGTGCATGGACTTGCCTCTCCGCAGTATTCAGAGATGAATTCATTCTTTTGAACAGACTCTTTGATGAAGGTGCCCCACCCGGCCACATCTGACGGAGCCAACAGCAGGTGCTGAAAGAGAAGTCGAGTGTGCACGCTATATGATTTATGTACACACCCCTCCTTCTACTATTTACAACAACAAAATATCAGACTGCAATTTTTTTAACTATTTAATCCCCCAGTATACCTTTTTCAGACCTCTCTGGATGCTGCAGTTTTTGCAGGAGACCATTTTGCTGTCCCAGTGGTCGGCAGCACCGCAGGTCATGCAAAGATCTGGGTCACACTCTCTCACAGCCAGGTAGCAGGGACACTGTTTAGTGTTGCACTGAGTCTTACACCTGCAGCCTGGGAAGCGGTTCTGGCCTGGAAAACATTTAGGCACACAGCTGCTTTGAAAGGGAAACTGCTGACAAGGTTTGCGAGCAAATTGCATACAGAAATATAATACATTATGTGACTTGGCAGAACACGATATGATTATGATAAATAATTCCATCTTGAAATGCAGTTGCAGCACGGGAGCTCAGCGGCTGAGCACTGCTGAGAGGTTCATCAGTCAGAGACCTCTGCTGGCAGATATGCTGAAATACAATTTTGAGGAGTGTAACATAACACCCTCCGGGCAGATGAACGGAGGGCTCGGGCAAGAATAACCGAAATGTCTTTCCAGCAGCCTCTGCTTGGAGAAAACTGTCCATAGCAAGAGCTCCAGGCAGCATTTCTCTCCTCTGTCGTGCCGTCTTAACCTCTCATTCCCAGCCTGTGTGGGTTTTATGTGTCTGTATCATCAAGCATTGTTTAGTTGAAACTGTCTGACTCATACTGATGTTGGAGATGATGTTGTATATCAGGCACAGAGCCTGTCATATCCCTTTGATTTCGCTCCAAGTCTTTAGAGCACACACATGTGGAACTGGGGGCTGCTTCCTGTTTGGCCCCAGCTCCCCTCTGCTACGGGAAAAGGCGAGGTAACAGGGAGGAGGGAGGAGGGAGGAGGGAAGGTGACCGAACCATCGCACATGAACAAATGTGGCAAAGCCCATCCTTTCCAAACCATAGCAAAATGTTTACTGCATCTTATCCTTTCTCTTTACTGTCGAGTCTCCAGAGGGCAAAATACAAAATGCACTCCTCCACCGTGTGGCCATTTCAGAAAACACAGTTCTGGGTCATTGCTGCAGCAGCAAATGCCTCATTGTGAACGCAGCTCTGTGTTAAACAGACACCCACCTATCCCCGCCAGAGGACAGTCTCTCCTCTGACCGCTGCCAGAATCCTGCAGAATCACTTTACATTCTGCTGCCCTGCTCTATTGTGGCTTGGCAAAAGGGTTTAAAACCGTTGAGATCTTTCGCTGGAAAATGCGGTTATGACAAACAATTTTCTTTGAGCATCACACGGAAGAGCAGACTGCTTATATGTTCATGTGGAAAAGAAAGAGGCTGTTCAGTATGTGAGAGACTGGTGACACAGGTGAAGGAGGAAGGTGACACTCACACTCGTGCTCGCATTGGCAGAACTTCTCACAAAAATTCTGGGTCATCACGCACGGGCAGGAGCTGTCGCAGGGGTGGTCGGGGTGGTCACATGGCTGATAGTTGTACACCTGATTGGATGAGTTATCTGGAGCAACAGAGGACAAAGCCCTCAGACTGGCACAGTAAGCTTTGTTTTAAGTCAGAGGGCATAGTGCAGGAATAGTCACAAACATACCTTTCTTTAGCTGAATCTTTGCCCATAACCTGCAACATGAAACAAACACAAATGACAGGTTTACTCATAAACTGTTCTAAGCCTGCTCCATCGCTGTTCAGGTAATTCATGTCTCATTGCTTGTTAAGTGCTAAAAATGTGACAAGGTGACAGAAAGAGAAAAAAAAAAGGATGATGTCTCGCCTGTGTTTCCTTTTCTTCTTTTGGGGCGAGATCCCTCCATCCTCCAAAGGAACCCGATGGATCAGAACCTCTTTCACTGCAAACTCGTACACCTGTGGGAAACAAAAACAACATCTCATCCTGCATGTTCATCACAAATGTGCACAACCATGAAGAAATTTTCATTGCTGCTATGTTGTGTAATGTTGTGCAAGCTGAGAAGCATATCGCTTCCCTTATGCCACAGAACATAGATGCCCCCCTCCTCCATCCTCTGCTATCAAAACTGCACTGCAGAGGCCAGACGTACACATGCATCTGTGTGCACACACACTCAACCACTTCTGGCTGCCAAAACCCAGATTTGGCCTCTTCCGTAGGACACAGACATACATAATGATGCAGCTGGTTTCAGCATTTCCACTGAGTGAAGCAGTGGGCGGGGGCTCTCTGGATATCAGCAAGACTGTGGTGGTCCAATACAGACTCTGAACTCGTCTGGCCTTGGGACAAGAGAGGCTACAATGGTTGTATGTATATGTCTGAAAAAGGGTTAAGATTGTTCTACTTCTTCTGGACTAGGGGTACAAAAATAAAAAAACTTCTGACATCTCATTCAGAAGTTGCAATTTGCTCTGTTTACGCTCTTATGCACAGGCCAAATGAAGCTCAAATGACACGAGGTTGGGAATGTCTGAACAATTGCATCATGAGAGAATATGAGAGACGTCACATCTGGTAAGCATCCCTGTTTATGGTGCCACATGCCATTCTCTCTGCAGTCAGCCCAATTATCCACACCATAAAACCACAGGCACAGCATGTGCATGCATGTGTTATTACACTCGCACTGACGCAAACGCAATAGAAATCAGCAACGCAAGTCTGTTTTCTACTTAATTTCAAAACAACTATACATGCTTTTCAGAGA